TTTTTCAAACTAAGCAACCACTCCTTAGTTTCTTAGGTATATATTTGGGCATATATTGTGTCAAAAAGTACAATAATTGTTTGAGTTCCCGTTGTCAATTTTTATCCTAGTTAGTCTTAAAGAGGGGATGCGGAGGGAAGGGTGCTCTGGTGGCATAGTCCATAGAGAGATGGCTACTAATCCAAATGTCACACCTCTCTGATGGTTCGAATCCAAGGGATACAGACGGCAATCTCCTCCCTTGTAGTTTACAGTCTCTGAAAATCTGCTCGAGAGTTAGCTATAAGTCAGTTCTGACTTGATGATAATGAGCTGAGTCTTCAAAATATCATAATGCTCAAGGCAGAACTTTTTGAGTAGTAAACTAAATTATTGATCAATTTAAGAATAATTCAGAGAATACTTTTTAATTTAAGGTCTAAGATTATCTCAAGTTGATACTGCCAGGGATTTTATCCACCCTTTATAGCCCCAGAAATTCTAGAGTTCATGACAACTTGGAATTATGATCTATATTTTTGTACTTTTTCCTCTATAGACTCTGATCAAAATTATCTGTAATGGTAGCTGGGTGGGTACCACCTAGGCTTTTTATTGTCATTGCAAAGGAGGCAGTTTTTAATGAAGCAATTAGCCTTACATTCTATACCCTTTCCTAATTCCTCACTCTCATTTTCATTCAGTTTCTCCAGATGAATAGACCTTATGCCATCTACACGCTTTTAAAACTTAATTGTTGTTGTGGATTCTTTTGTTGTTGTTGTGCCATTTAACTCATAATGGCTCCAACCCTGGAAAATCTTTAGTAAAAGACCAAAGACTAGTAAGCTCCAGAGTGAAGCCTGAGTTTAATTGTTGTTTTTGAGTACCATCCAGTCAGAACCGACTCATAGCTGACTCTCCAGTGGGTTTGGGTTTTCAGAAACAGTCAATCACATGAGAAGAGGCTACCCATCTTTCTCCCATGGAACAGCTGGTGGATTTGAACTTCAGACCTTTGGGTTAGCAATGTAACTCTTTACCCCAAATGATACCAGAGGGTCGGCTTCAATTCTATGGCACACAACAAGAAGAAACTATCAGAGCTCCCTTTTTAAGAGCCAAGATGCTACACCATAAAGTAAGAAGTAGTTCAGAAGTATTAAACGTGCTTTTATTAAATAAAGTCAGGGTTTTATATAGCTCTAGAACTAAACAGTTCTTAAAGATTAAAAAAAATAAGGATTATACGACAAAGATCATTTGTGGTTCTCAAAACTCAAAAGTATTTACCATCTGGCCCTTTGCAGAAAATGTTTGCTGTCTTCTCTCCTAGAGCTGTTATTGTTTGCCCTCAAATAGAGGCGCATGCCAATAGTTCCGACCACCAATACTTTGGCAGGTAGTCAAGTGCTTAATCATGTGTATCACTCAGAAACTCTTAGAGCAGTGAGTGGTTCTGTGTCATTTTAAAAACAGCAGTAGCAGTTGCACCTGGAAACCGGTTAGAAAGAAAAATTCTCAGGCTCAATATAGACCTCCTGAAATCAGAAATAAACACTGTTTTAACAAAATTCTCCAGGTGATTCTGTGCACCTTAAGAGCCAAGAATTGCTGTAGTGGAAGACTTGCACCTGTGCACTACCATGTACATTCAAGAATGTTTCTCAACTATTGTACGTTAAACCTCAGAGACAAGAAACTGTCAGTCTGTTGTTGTTGTTGTGTGCTGTAGAGTCAGAACCAACACACAGCTGACCGTCTAGCAGGTTTCTAGAGGCAGTAAATTGTACAGGAGGAGAAAGCCAATCCTGCTGAGCAAACAGTGAATTTGAACTATGTGCTTGGGCATTGAAGCACAGCTTTTTACCACTAGGCCATCAGACCTCAGTCCTTAGTTGTTGTTATATGCCGTCAAGTTGCCTGTAACTCATAGTGACCCTATGTACAACAGCTCTGAAGCCTACCCTGCCCTGAGCAAGTCTCACTGATACACCTACCCCGTTGCCCTAGTTACCGTATCAATCCATCTCATCCAGGGTCTTCCTCTCCTGCATAGTCCTTCCACCCTTTCAAGCATGATGTCCTTTTCCTCCTGGCCATATGCCTACAGTATGTGAGATGGAGTTTCAGGATCCTAGCCTCCAAGGAGAAACTTGGTTTCACCCTCTCCAAGAGAAAACTATTTCTTTTCTTGGCAGCCCATGGTATGTTCAAGACTCTTCTCTAGCACAACTCAAAGGCACCTATTTATCTTCTGTCATCCTTAGTCATTGTCCGGCTCTCTGATGCATAGCAAGCAATTGCAAAGACCATGGACTGGATCAGGCACACCTTAGTCTCTAGACTGACATAGTGCTTCTCAGTACCCTGGAAAGGTCCCTAACAGCAGATTTACCTAATGCAATTCACCTTCTGGTTTCCTGACTGCTGGTGCCAAAATTGTTGATTGTGGAGCCAAGCAAACTGTAACTGTGAACAACCTTAATCTCTTCTCCATTCATCACGGTGCTGCCAATTTGTCCTGTGGTTAAAATTTTTGTCTTCTTGAAGTTAAGCTTCAATCCATATTGAAGATTACAGTCCTTGACCTTCTGCAGCAAGCCCTTCAGGTTGTCCTCAGTTTCAGCAAGCAAGGTTGCATTATTTGCATAGCATAGGTTGTTTATGCATTTTCCTCCAATCCTGATGCCACATTCCTCCTCAGATAGCCTCCCAAATGATCTGTTCTGCATACAGATTGAAAAACTATGAAGACAGGACACATCTCTGACACATTCCCTTCCTGATTTTGAACCATGCAGTGTTTCCCTGCTGTGTTCTAAAGACTGCTTCCTGGTCCAAGTAGTCTTGCATGAGCACAATCAAGTGTTCTGGGCACAGTAAAGAACATAAATTGTGGTGTAACTTATAGTTAAATGTATAAAATAGTCAAAAGTATTAAATAATAATACTTATACAATGTTTTATAACTTGTGTTTAAGAATATGAACAGTGTTTGAGTCCCAGTTCTACCATATACTACCATACAGCATATGAACTTTGAGAAAAGATGATTGTTATAGAAAGGCTTCAGGTCTTTTGTTCATAGGGTCACTATGAGTTGTGCTCAACTTGATCGCAATCAACACCAACAATCATATACTAGCTATGTGACCTTGGGTAAATTATTTTCTATTATCTGTAAAATTGGCAAGAAAAGAACTATTTCATAGGGTTATTGTAGATATAAACAAAGTTTTGAGAGGTGTCTGGTACAAAAGCATTATGTTTAAAGGGAAACAAGAAAGTAAAGGAAAAATATGCCAGGGTTCATTTTGCAAAACGATTCTCTGCTTATGCATGCTGCATATAACAAAATTATTAAGATGGCGTGGCCCTTAGAAGATATAAAATGTTGACATTGCTGCCATACACTCAAGTTTTAACATGCATCAAATACTTTCAAATTTCCTTTATAGGACTGCGAAGATAACTGAGGAAATTTATGAGAGAATCTTGAATGGTAGTTGGCAAGCAATTAATAGAGTTGAAAACGACTCATAGCTAAGCCTTCGGCTGGTTTTCAGAGGCTGGTAAATTGCACAGGAGATGGTGGGTCCAAACCGCTTGCCTTTGGGTTGGCAGGGCATAATCATTAGCCTCCCAGAGAACATTTTTTTCCCCCAGAGAATATTTAAGAGAAGTGTTCTCTTATTTAGTTCTCTTAATTGTCTATTTTTTCCATTATTATTTTTTGAACCTTTTCTTTTTTGATTTTTAAAATGCAAAATATATATTTTTACAGCATATTCTTTCCATTTAATTTTTACCCCTTTCATTCATTGTTTCACATTTTCCTCTCTGCATTATTTTTTTTTTTAAATTATTTTATCATTTTTTTTGTGGGTGTGCTGTCAAATCAGATCTGACCGGTACAGGAAGAGATTGTCCCTCCTTCTCAACCTGGTGGATTCGAACCTTGCACTTCTGGGATTGTAGTGCAGTTTCTTGCCACTAGGCCACCAGACCTGCGTTATTTTTTAAAAACCCTCCTATTTTGATAAATACTGACAGCTTTAAGGTAACGTCCTTAACTAGAAGATTTGGTATTTACTTTAAATCAAGGTCAGAGACAAGCCTGAGAATTAGTGTCTAGTAGTTTTTCCATAGGAACACAGTTCCAATCCAGCAGATGCTTCTCAGGATGGGCAGTCTCCTCTTGTGCAATTAAACAGCCTCTGAAAACATGCTGGAGGGCCAGCTGTGAGTCCATTCTGACTGGTTTTCCATTGCTTTGCCCCAGGGCAGGTTTAAGGCAGGACTACAATCCCGTTATCTCCCAGGATTTCAGCCTGTTGGCCTTAATAGGAAGATGCCTTGGAGGTTAGTGATAAGAAGTTGTGCTGCCAATACAAAGGCACAGAGTTGGAATCCACCAGCTGTTCTGTGAGAAGATGGGCAATCTTTACTGCTTGTCCTGCTAGAAGGTCAGATACGGTTCTAATACATTCCACGCCATTTCATACATTACACTCCGCCGACCCCACACCTCCTTAGTAAGATGCTTGTTAGGTACCATTGGGGTCATAACCGACTCATAGCTGATTCCTAAGTAGCTGGCAGCCCAACTCCTAACCACTAAGTCACCAGAGCTAAAATGCTTAGCATGCTGAAATACATAACCCCAGCACATTCTAATCTATTGCTTTGAATTGCTGAGAGGAAAAAAAAAATCACAGAATTCCCTTCCTCTTAGCCTTAGTAATCAAGTGGGGCTGGAATAGCAATGTCAAATGCAGTAAAAACAGCACGTAAGCGAGCCAGCTCTAGTTCAGGAGCAATCTCCAAGGAGGGCAGCGAGGATAAAGCCGGGCGGTCTCCTTGTGACGTCAAATCAGCGGACTCTCGCCCTGGCTTTCCGGTTCCCGGCTTTCCGGGCGCAAATGTACGCGACCGCGGCGGCGTTCTGCGCGTGCTCCGCAGAGAGCCGGGAGAAGGTTGGGCCGGCTCACGAAGGAGATGCGTGATTGGCTGTCGCCGTGCGGGGTTCCCTGGCCCCTTTGGCAGGGGTAAAACAATAAGAGGGGGCGGTGGCAAAGGGGGCGGGACGTCCGTGTTCCTTGTCGTTCGCCGCAGTCCCTGGCGCCCGGGAAGAAGTGGTTGTGAGCGAAACACGCTCACTGCAATCGTGTTCCTGAGGCTTTAGGTTTATTGGTGGGAGGCAGCGGCAAGCAGAAGAAATCTTCTGCAGCTGCGTCTCGGCGACTCTCCTGCTGACCTCCGCGCGACGTACCCGCCGCCGCTGTTGGTTGGAGGTGTGTACGGGGGCCGGCAGGGCAGGTCGGTGTGGTGGTCGGAAGGGGACATTCTCTTCGCGCGCCGCGGCTCGAGGCAACCGTCTTGTATGTGAACGGAGGTGTCGTAGGTGTAGCGGTGGAGAGAGACATTGTTCTTGCCGGGTGCCTACGCTGCGGTGTGTGCGTGTGAGGAGTCCAGTCTTTTTCTCGCAGGTGAAGGATGGGAAACTGTGTGGGAAGGGAGGTGATCGGTGGTGCACGTTGTGCGGACAGAGAGCTTTGAGGGCACAGGTGGGGCCAAGGTTGGTTGAGGATGAGGTTGCGAGGGGGACGCAGCAGCTCCCCAAAGGGACGCTGATGGAGGATTAAAACTGGGAGGCGAACCGGGCTTGCAGGAGTGTTTTTAAGAAAGACAGCAGGCTCGGGTTTTTTCCGCCTCAATTGCGGCTCTGAATTCCCGGTTCCAGCGGAGTGGGGAGACCGGCGCCGCCCCGCCCGTGGGGGAGGGGAACGTGGCTGTGGCGGCGGAGGCAGAAGCGACGCAGATGCGAAAGTAGCGGCCTCCGGGCACCATTTCTGGGGACGGAAACAAAATCCGGGTTTGAAGGCAGCTGCCGTTTTGATTACCCAATACCTCGCGTTCCGTCGTCTTTGACACCCCCTCGGGTTTAGTCCGGACGTATTCGCATGTCAGGTTGAAACGTGCACCTCTTTCGTGCCCTTTTTATGCAGGCGATCCCCTGTCGACCCAGGAATAGAATAGATGTTTGAACGCTCTAGAAAACGGGATTTCCCCCCATTCCACCACTTTTAGGGGGATGGAAGGCAAGAGAAAGCAGAAGCCGTCTTACGGTGTTTTGATTTTGCTTGGATCATTTTAGGAGTCATTTTCTCAGCGACTCCAAAAGCCATTTCTTAAGATGGCCTTCTGCCTCTTTGGGGCTATTATATATTTGCAACCACTGCCTTCCACGTGGATTAAGAATTTTTATCCAAAGGATACGTGGTTTTTAAAGTTACAAGAAGTGTGCTTATCTCTTACCAAAAGAATGCATTGAAATTGGAGTAATAACAAAAGTTGTTGCCTCCTCCCCGCCTACAGCTTTGTGATAATAACTAGAGATAATAAAATACAGGTTTTAGTTTTAAGGCTAAATATCTTGTGCTAATTTAATTTTCTCTCTCTTTTTAAAATCTTGTGCTAATTTTCAAATGTTGGTAAGGCATGTACCTGGAACCTTAACCACAATTTATAGAGTCCCATCTATTTGAAGGCACCAAACTGGGAATTCCTTGGGCAGTTCCATATTTGGCAGTTAACATAGCTTTAGACATTTGAGCAAAGTTTCCAAGTAACTGTTTGCTGTATTAGTAGTTACTGGACCTTTTAATGGCTAAGATGCATAACTTTTAAAATTTTTTTTAAAAAGGTCAATTTTTAAAGGCTTTATTACCTTAACTTTTTCTCAAAACTTTAGGGTTAGCCATTGCTTCTTTGTGTTATGATGAAATTTTTATACATAGGCTATTTTAATTCTGAAAGTTATTGAAGAAGTTAGAAGGGAGAATAAAGGCCTTAAATGAATGAAGTGTCATGGACAGTTGTCTTAGTTGTGTTGCTCAGTATTCAGGATTGAAATAGTAGTAATGGTAAACAAGTATCAGGACTGAAGAACCAGAATGCTTGTGGGGTTAAGAAGATCAGAGGAAGAGAAAGAAGAAGATGACTTTTGACATCTTGATAGTTAAGATGTTTAGTTATCACCAGAGCAGTTGGATTATCAATAAACAACTCCTGGTTTGAATAAAATGTTGGCACTTTGGATAGCAGGAAATACTAGCTGTCCACATTTGACTTAGATCAAAAATCAGAATTTTAATGCCAGTTAACGAAAACACTGTCAATAGAGCCTTTAGATTATTAACAGCTTTTTTATCCTGAACAATTTATTTTATTGGTAATTAGTTATCAGTATAAAAAATCCTTTCAGGGATTGCTTTAAAAAAATTCTAGCGGTAAGGGAGGAAATTGTGCAACAAAGAATGAATATTTTAAAAACCCTCAGTTTATATGCTGAGTAGATACGAGGGAAGTGAATCTTAACCTCTTCAGGGCTTAGATTTGTAGGTACACACAAGATGCTTCTGAACTTAAATTCAGTAGAAATTGACAGTGGCCTAATTACTCTTCATTGGCAGATTTTTAATATTAATGGAACAAACTGAACCCAGTTTATTTTTAACCATTTAGCTATTTTACGAAGCCCTGGTGGTGTAGTGGTTAAAAGAACTTGGCTGTTCGTTTTAACACCTAAGAAAGTGTGTTGAAATGGCATGATTTTCATGTTTTACTGTTCATATTTTAGTTCTTCTCAATGGTTTATCAAATAAACTATTTTAGAAGCAGAATTTTTGTTGTTGTGTTTTTTTTCTTGGTGTGTGTACCATCGAATTCGATCCTACTGGCACAGGAAGAGATTGCCCAACCCTCTTCAGCAGAGCATCTGGTGGATTCGAACAGCGCACTTTCGGGATTGCAGCGCAGCTTCTTGCCACTAGGCCACCAGAGCTCCCTTGTTTGGTTTTATTAAAAATTCTGTGCCATTTGATGTTGTTACAAAGAAGTAATTTTTAATCTTATTTTGGAGGCAGGATGCCTAGTATAAAAATCTTTTTTTTTAAAATCTTTTAACAATAACTGAGGAATTTGAACTTCTTTTCTAAGGTGCTCTAAGCATCAGATTCTTCTGTAAATGGAAGCTAATAAGCTGCCTTATGTCAAGGAAATAGATTTATTAAACTGAAGCAAAAACCCCTGATTTTTATTTTTGTGGGACAGCACTTCTATTATTTAATGTTTGACTTTGATTTGATGTTTCCTATTCTATTTACTTGTGTATTCAATATATGTTAATTTTTTAAAATTTTGCAAATTATTTTTAATCATTCGAAAAACACTTGTGGCCTAGTGTCAAGAAGTTGCACTGCAATCCTGAAGGCACTCAGAAAAGGGTGGGCAGTCTCCTCTGGTATGATTAACTGCCTATGAAAACCTGCCAGAGAGTTAGCTATGGGATAGTTGTGGTACACAAAAACAAACCGTAGTATAATTGGTTCTTCTGTAACCTTATATGTGTTTATTTTCTGTTTATTTTATTTCAAAGTTTACAAGTCGGTGCTTTTTTCAGTCACTCATAGACATAAAATTTACAGTGATTACTGTGATGAGTTAATGTCTAATCAAATTTTTATTGTATATTGTCTTTTCTTTCACCCAGCTTACTCTTATTTTTATTCTCTTCTGTTTCTCCAGAATTAGTCTGTGTGTAAACCTTTCCTTTCAGCTCAATTAATTGCTTATGAGTCAGAACCAATTCATAGCTGACCCTTCAGTGGGTTTTCAGAGGCTGTAAATTGCACAGGAGATTGCCTGAGGAGCTACCAGAGCTCCCTGCTTGTTATACTAGTGATTTTATACCATAATTGTTGTTTTGTGACTGATTCTTAATAAGCATAGTTCTGGATTCATCATATTGTGCAGTATTTCACAGATTCTTGACATCATTATACTCTGTTGTGTGGATATGCTATTGTTTAGTCATGTTGAAAAATGAAAATAAAACAATATTGATAGACATTTTATTGTTTCCAACTCTTAGATATTGTTATAGATAGCGTTACAGTAAACATGGATCTAAGTTTGTGTTGCAGCACTTCTTGGGGATTTATACCTAGTAGTGAGATTGCAAGACTTCCCAACTTTCTTTTTTTAATTGAAATTTTACTGAAAGTTTATAGAGACTTGATTTCCATTCATTCATTGTTGGAGATTTTCCTCCCTGTCCACCCCTCCCCCCAGTTCGCTTTTCCCTTTGAAAAACTTTTTTAAAAAATTCTTGCATTGTTATACAATCCTCACCCCCAGTCCACGCCACTATTAGCTCTCATTCTGGACTCTTGTCATGAAAATAATACCTAATCATATATTCCTTTTAAACAGTTCTTTCCTCTTATCTGTTTCAGTGCAGTATACATTATTTATTCCCTCTTTTCTTCATTTCCCCCCAACTCCGATGTCAGTGTCACTATGCAGTATTTATCCTTTTGTGACAGATAGTTCACTCAGCATTTTGTCCTCCAGGGTCACTCATTTTGTCTATTTCATGAGATTTTTTCCCGTGCTGCATAGTATTCCATTGTGTGAATATGCCACAGCTTCTCTAGCCATTTGTTTGTTGTTGGGCACTTAGGTTGTTTGCAACTCTTTGCTATTGTGAACAAAGCGGAAATAAATATAGGTGTGCATGTATCTGGGTGACAGTTATGGTTTCCTTAGGACATATTTCTCAGTAGTGAAATTGCTGGGTCAAATGATAGTTCTATTTGCAACTTTTGGTGAAAGTGCCATACAGCCTTACATAGTGGTTGCACCATTTTACACTCCCACCAACAGTGAATAAGGGTTCCAGTTTTTCCTCGCCAGCATTTGATGTTTGCTGTTCAGTTAAATTTTGCTATTCTTACTGGGATGAGATGATATCTTGTAGTTGTTTTGATTTGCATCTTTCTTAGAGCTAGGAATTTTGAACATTTCTTCATGTGTTTGTTTGCCATATGAATGTCTTCTTTGGTGAAGTGTCTGTTTATATCCTGTGCCCATTTTGCAGTTGGGCTGTTTGCCTTTATCTTGTTGTAGTGCTCAAGTATTCTGTAAATTCTAGATATGTCCCTTCTCAGACAAATATTTTTTCCTAGTCTGTGGCTTTCCTTTTTACCCTGTTGGAGAAGTTTTTGGATGTGCATAGGGATTTGATTCTTAGGTCTCATTCATCTATTTTATCCTCTCCTGGTTGTAGGTTTTTCAGGATGCTTGGAAGACTGTTTAGGTTGTGGATTAGTACTTGTAGAGTTCTTCCAAGATTTTCTTTAATGACGTTTATACTCCTTGGTTTCAATCCCAGGTCCTTGATCCACTTTGAGTTGGTTTTTGTGTATGGAAGTGTGGATCTTGCTTGAGT